AAATGTTTATGAAAATTAATAAAATATAGAAAAAAAAATTCAGATTTCAGGAAAAATTGGGGGGGGAGGGGGGGAACAAAGAAAAAAGCAAAATCCACTAAGGTCATTCTATTGCCCTGCTCAGCTACTGGACTCTTTTGAAGACTTTTTTAGAGGTTTCTACTAGATTTACATAGTGACTGTTACACTGGGCTCAAGTATATTAGAGATGATGACGATGGAATAAGATACAGCAAGGCTCACATCTGTTCACAGGGTCATTTGTGAATTATAGTCAACTTGGCACCTAACCACATACTGTTATTACTATAGGATGATAAAGAAATACTGCATTCTAGCACACTCCTTTAACTTTCCTGACTTGATTAAATAACAGCTGCTCTCCTCAACCTATGCCAGGCTTTCTTGTACTTCCTAAGGACATAATCAAGGATATTAGCCTGTTATTTTCTGCCTGATTTGATGTAAATATTTATTATTAGCAAGCACTTTTCTTAAATAATATCTCTTTCATCTACAGAGGATATCTCTATGCTTTCTACATTATTTCAGTGATGAAATTGTTTAAGGTATTCTGTTGGAAAGCATATTCTTTAACACAGGAAATGTCAAATAAAAGCGAATAACAATGATGCCATTAACTAACCAATTACGAATTGATTTTACAACTAAGAATAGGCTACAAATTATTGAAGGTTATGCAAATAATACAAATTGATTCTCACTTTTCCAGAAGGCTTTGGATGCATTAAGAAATTCAAGATCCGCTTCACTAGTTCACTATTTACACCTGATCTCTCCAAATCAAGAACTTCACAGATGCTCTTCAACATAGCATTTCTGAATCTAAAACAGAAAACAAAGTGATTATGTAGGAAAATTAGCATTCTCCACAATATAAAAACAGCCAGCCACAAACCCACTCCAGTTAGCTGACTTAAGTATGTAGAATAAAAGTAGTATCTGTTGCAGGCAACTCTACGGCACATAACAACAACAATATACTAAATACAAACAGTTAAAGAACATAGCTCTGCAATCCCAGAGGTGCGTGGTTTGAATCCACCAGATGCTCTGCTGAAGAAAGAGGGGCAATGTCCTCCTCCTGTACCAGTCAGATCTGATTTGATGGCACACACACACAAATAATTTTTTTTAAGAAAAAAAAGAACATAGCTCTGGAAACTCTTATGAACTTTGATAAATCAAAAAAGTCACAGAAAGACTTAAGGCCTTTTTTCAGAGTTGCTATGAGCTGTGCTCGATTTGACGGCAATCAACAGCAATAATAAAATAAAGACATCGTTTCTCAATTAAAAGTTCTAAAAATAATTTATAAATAGACTAAGTTAACTCACTAGAAAATGATACAAGATTATACTTTCCAATTCTGCCTGAGGACCAAGTATTGCATTTTCCTTTAGCATCCCTACTATTGTGTAATTATTCATATTATGAGAACTTAAACTGTAAAGAATTAACAAACAGAAACCTCATAGAATAAAACATCCTGCTTGTATTATATTGAAGGATATTGTTTCCATCAAATTTATCATCTTCAAAACACTTCTATGCTACCTATAAAGAAAAGGAGCCTAGTGTGATAAGGAGTGCTCTGCCAGTGCAAATTCAGCTGGTTCAAATCTACCAGCTGCTCCATGGGAAAAAGATAGGCCATAGCCTCTAAAACCCACTGAGAGGGCCAGCTATGAGTCAATCCTGACTCAACGGCATGTAACAAAACTACCTACAAAAAAGGGACAGGATGACCAAGGACAAGAACGTAAAATATTTTTTAACTATAATACTCTTTTAATTTTGGACTACATGAATGCTTTTCTCCTATCGTTCTTCTAGGATATGAAAAAAAACCTCAGTATTCTAGAAATTTTTCACAGAATTTTAAAATTTTTTCAACAATCTTGATAAACATATCAAAAACCATTAAAAACCCCCCCAATACATTCCAACTTAACAGAGAGAAGTCAGGAAGACGAGCATTTAAAGCTATGATTAATCTAACAGTGTATACAAGATCATATTAGAAGGTTAAAAAATTAAATCAAATTGAACAAAACACAGTATTTACAAAAATAACTTACTTTTTCAACATCTCTTCCTTCTTTTTATATTGGGCACTTCCTTTTTCAAATGGAAAGCCACTGAACTGACCCACATTTTTCTTTAATGAAGATACCTGGAAATATTTCTCTCATTATTAATGCTATGTATTACCCAGTAAAGTACACAAGGAAAAAAAGAGAAAGTCAGCATCTGTCTCAAGTTAAATTTTTTCAACATTTTATTCCAAACATAAAAATTGTAGTATCAACACTGTAAAGATCGACAACTTAACTCTTTATGATTCTAAATAAATTTTAATCAGAGAACATTTACTGGTCAAGTAGTATAATACTTAGCAGTATAACCTGACAGTACCAAGACAAATTATTTTAAAAACACAAGCATCTTTCCTTTAAAAAAACAAACAAAACCCCCGCATTATTTTATAAAGAATCTGAGATTTTATTCTTTCCTCGAGTGTAAGCCTATAAAGTTATGTGTACAGTATAATCCATAATAAAATGGATTTCGTCTTTAAAAATCCTATGGCAAAGAAAAATCACATTACTTATCAGACATTTGCTCAGAATAAGATATAATTATATAGAATCTAACCTCTAAATGACCAGAACATCCAGAAATATAGAAGAACAGTAATATACTTGCAATTACTATTTCATAACCAGAAATCTCTATTTTGAACAAAAACAATTAGAATAAAAAGAACCCTGGATACTATACAAACCTAGTTGCTAAAAAACTAGCCATGAGTCCTGTGACACATCATTTACTAAGAATGTATCTGAGTTTGTTTCACTTGTTGCTTTATGAAGTCTTCCAGGACTAAAATTATGTTTCTATTATGAAGTATTTCAGTATATAAATAGGCTATTAGGTTAATGGCATTTGTTAATTTTTAAAAATTCTTACTGTGCCTGGTCTGTTGTAAAGCAGTTTGTGTAGATTTCTAAGTTCATCGGTTTTCTTCTTACTCAGAAAGAAATGTATCCTTTCGATTTCACAAAGTTTCTGTCCTTTTCCTAGGAAAAACATTAAATATATGTTATTGTTAATTTAAAAGAGTTTTGCTCCAATTCCAAAGACATGAGATTCAAACCCACTAGCTGCTATGAGGGAGGATAGCCTATCTCCACTTGTGCGACTGTCTCTGAAAGCCTGCTGGAGTATTAGCTATGGGTTGGTTCTGATTCAACAACACAGTTAATTTAAGGAACTCTGGTCATGTTGGGCTAAAGTCCAAAAAACTAGCAATTAAAATCTACCTGGTAAACTGCAGGAAGAAAGATGAGGCAATCTCTTCTAAAAATTCACAATCTCAAAACCCTGAAGGAAGGTCACTGTGAGTCAGAACGGACTCCATGTGTTTTGGTTTGGGGCTTTGTTAATTGTTGTTAGGTGTCAGAGTTAAGTATGACTCACAGCAAACCTTTGAACACTTGAATCCTATCCTGTTATATCTTCATCTGATACCCTTGAACTCACTCACTGCTGCAGTCAAGAGTGTCAATCCACCTCATCAAGGGTTTTCTTATCATTCATTGACCCTCCACATTTCCAAGCATAATATCCCTTTCCCAAAAAATAGCCTTTCCTCGTCCACATGTCCAAATTTTGTGAGCTGAAGCTTTGCCTCTAAGGAACATGCTGGCTGTACTTTTTCTAAGACATAGCAGTTTGGATTTTAATTCCCCCCCCCCCCCCCCCAATTCCTGGGATATTCAGTGCTCTTAGTGCTCTTCTCCAACACAATTCAAAAACATTAATTCTTATTCTGTCATCCTTAGTCTCTGTCCAGCTCTCAGATGCACAGCAATGTCTGGAAAGACCAAGGCCTCAATTAGACACACTTTAGTCTTCAAACTAATACCAACACTTTTTAGTATTTTTGATAAGTCCCTCCCTGATAGTAGACTTGCCTAAAGCGAAGCGTCTTCTGATCTCCTGACCACTCTTCACAAGGGTATCAAATGCAGATCCAAGATGAAATCATTGACAGTTGCAATCCTTTCTCCATCTACCACGATGTTGTCAAGTGGTGCACTTCTAAGAGCCTTTGCTTTCTTAATGCTGAGATGTAATCCATATTGAAGGCTTCAATTTTTTCCAACAAGCATTTCAAATCCTCTTCATTTTTAGCAAGTAAGTCTTCCTGTGACCCTTAAGCTACATTCTTCGTCACTGAGTTCAGCTCAACAAATTATTTGCTCAGCATACAGACTGAATAGATATGAAGAAAAGACACAACCTGACGCATACCCTCTTGATTCTAAACCACACAGTGTTCCCTTGTTCCATTCAGACAACAGCCTCTTGGTCTATAGGTATAGATTTCATATGAACACAATTAAGTGTTTTGGGATTCTTATTCTCAATAGTTTCTGATTCACAACATTGAATGCCTTTACATAGTCAACATAACATAGACAATCTTCTGGTATTCTCTACTATGAAGTTAGGATCTGACATCAGCAATGATATCCCTGGTGTCACTGCCTCTTCTACAACCAGCCCGAACTGGCAATTCCTTGTCAGTGTCCTGTTCCAGTAATTTTTGGATGACCTTCAGCAATATTTTCTTCATACGTGGTATTAATTATATTATTTGATAATTTCCACATTCTGTTGGATCACCTTTCTTGGGAATGGGAATAAATATGGATCTCTTCAGTCAGCCAACCAGGCAGCTGTACTCCAAATTTCCTTGCACAGATTGGTGAACATGTCCAGAGTGACACTGTTAGCTGAAACACACCAACCATTATCCCATCTACTCCATGGGACTTATTTTATAGCCTGAACTTTTTCCTTTGTTACCATTTATTCTTGTTCATATGGTACTTAGTGAAATTTTTCAGTGTCAACCAAGGTACAGTGATTCTGAATATTTCTCCCAATTTTTCTGTCTTTCCATCTTTTTTGATATTGCCTAGGTCATTGAATATTTTCCCCAAGACATCTCTCAGTATTGCTACTTGTCTTAAATTTTTCAGTTCTTTCAGCTTGAGAAATGACAAGTTCTCCCCTTTTAATACTCTGTCCATCTCTTTGAACTAATACTTTGTTTGCCTTCTCAAGCTTCCCTTTGTAATCTTCTATTTAGCTTTTACTTTGATTTCTCTTCCTTCTGTCTTGATGTAAATAAATACATACACCAAACTAATTTAAATAAGGCTTGAGTATAGTTTACACAAAATGTACTCTAATATTGTAGGTATAATAAAATTTTATCAAAAGTAGACTACGACGACATTAGACCAAAAGATCAGCATTTTTCCAAAATTACTCACGGCAAGGAGTATAATAGAAAAAATAATGGGGATGAGAAACTAAAGACGAAGAGAGAAAAGTGTGATTACACTGTTGAGTATATAAGACAAAATATGAAATGAAAAAAATCAATACGCTATGAAAAGTTTCACCCAAATCACATTTCCTAGATGACAAAAAAAAACAAAAAAAAAACCACACCTGACACATTTGAGCTGTGGTGTTTGACAATACTTAACATCTCACAGATCAAAAGAACAAGCAAGTCTGTCTAAGAGGAAGTACAACCAGTGTACATCTTAAAGGCAAAGATGGTGAAACTTGGTTTCACATACTTTTGGCATCCTGTTATGCTTTCAAGCTCCTTGAAAAAGGTGGAGGGTCTGAGAAAAGAGAGGAAAGCTCTCAATAAGATGGACTAAGTGACTTTAACAATGGACTTGAGCAATATCTGAGATCAGGACAACACAGGAATAGGGTAAGGCTGAGACCTGTTGTTTACAGGGTCACTCTGAGTCACAATTGACTTGATGGCACCCAATATCCCCACAAAACACTAAAACTTAAGCATTAACATTTTAGTTATTTTCCCGTCAAAATGAAATAAACTTACCTTGTGCAATTGTGAAAGGTTCTTTCTGTAAAGAAGAGACTTGCATGGTCAGTCGCTCCACTTTCTTTTTCTCTCGCTTGCCTTCCACGATAAGACTTTTTTCTAGAAATTAATATTTTTTAAATAAGAGAAAGCTTAAGGAATGCATTAATTTCATTGGATAAACATATAGAAAAAGATGCTCAATGTCTAATCTCCAATTCTTGCAGAGTAGTTTTTAAAAACCTAGCTGCAACAGTTGTTGGGTTTTTGTTTGGCTTTTTTTTTAAAAAAAGATTAACATGTTACTTAGCTGGCAACCTAACAGATGACATGTTTAGAGGTGAGGATCAAAGTGTAAATCAACTTAATCCAACAACAACTAATGCTATGGAAGTTCACTCACTTCATTTGTGGAAAAATTACCTAAGCACTTATTTAAGCCTATTCCTGGTTTAGATGGAATTCCTAAATTGTGACTCACGGACTGGTACATAAGGTTTCCACTGATGTAAAAAGAACACCAACAATTTGTAAACTGACAGAGACGACAAAAGCAAGAGCCTTGAGACAGAGCAGACTGGTGTTAGAGTGCGCAGGTGTGGTACCATCAGTTTCTTATGTAAAATGATTTTTCTAGGCATCAGCTTTGACTTTCACTACATGGTAAGGTGAGAATCTGAATTAGGGTGCATATAAACTTGTTATTTATAGGATTGGTCAGTTTCCCCCATTTCATCAAGTTTAAACAAAGCAGGTCTAGCACCAAAGGTAAGGATTTCACTCATTAGTCACAAGGAAGAAATAAGAGTGCAGTCAATGTCCTTCAAGGTCAGAGATTCCAGTTCCAGTCAGACCAGGACAAGAGTAGCAGCAGCCTCAGTGGAGAACCAGAGACTGACACGAGACAAGTTTACTTGGGACTGCTGACCCATGAAGCCAGAGCCTTTGCTCAAGCTTGCTGCAGAACTGAATAAGTCCACTGGCAGGACTAGAGTTATGCAACACTGACGACCTAAGCCTGGAGGCTAAAGGACCTGCAAACATGCTTTTCGATGCTGTCCTAAATAAGAATTGTATCCTGCTGCTAGCCCGGCTATAACCTGTTAATTTCCCTAATGCATCCCATAACTGAGTGGTATGGTTCTGTGAGACTGTGTGGCCACTGCAACAAACTTTGGATCCAGCAGGGTGGCTGGATACTGCTATCGTTGGTACTCGAGTTAGTCAAAGTACATGTGGTTGAGTGGATGCCACATCTGGCCCTATGGAAATTGGTTTTGTGAATTTAACACAAGTTGGACTCAGCTGTCCCATATCGCCCCACTCTTTTTACAGCAGGAAAAATTCTCCAACAGAAGGATATTATTTTGTTGATTACAAACAAATGATGTGCAAAATAATGATCATAAGTCACTCTGTAATGTTAAATAATGTTGAGTCCAGCCTGTTTTTAAAATAAAACATTTGGGAAATGCCTATCATAATCTTTAAAACATTAAGACTGTTTAGCCACAAATATGTACTTATTAACAGAAATAAATTGAGAAGACACTCAGTTTAAGAGATACTGTAGCGTGATACTTAATATTCATTATGTGTTCTGTGAGATGGGGCATTATAGGATCTCTACATGGGGCAAATATCATGTTGCGTTTGGAGCCTGCATATTCTGTTAAGCCTAGTCTTACCACTAGTTATCAATTGCTCAGTAATTTGCTTTTGTGTCTGGACTTTGATTCACATCATTAATTTCTTCATAGCTGATACAGGTCTCATAGTTTTTGTTAGACTTGTGCTTACTGTGGTGCTGATTCTTTAATAGCATGGGAAGTAGGGTTTGTTTGTTTTTCAGACTGTCCAGTATGACAAACTTACATCACCTGCAACAGCAATCACTGATGTTCAACCTTCAGGTTGAATCTTGTTTCACTTCCAAACCAACAGATGCTTTTGCTTCTATTACTAGCAATGGTTCTGCTGCCTTTAAAAGCAAGTGTTAACACTTCATGGTAATATTTTCACAAGTTAAATAAATGATTCCATAATACTAAAAAGAGGTATGTTGTTGCTGTTAAGTGTCGTACACAATATAAAAAAACCTGGTGCTGCTCTCTAGAAGTCAACTGTTGTGTGGTAAGCTTTTTAGTTTACTATATAATTTACTAATTTTACATTACAGTTATTAAATCAGTTAAGTTTCATAAAATTGTACTATTTTGTTCTACTTGCCAGTTTCATGAGGGAAGCATTTTCATTAGCTGTCTATTCTTCAACTGAGATTTCTGAATTTTATTACATCCAGATGGGTCCACTGAAATGCCTGTGGTCAGATGTTGCCCAAATGGACTATGCACAGCACTTGAGTATATATATTTTTGGAGTTCATTCAAGAAACTACTTGTTTTATGCAAACTGACACAAGATACTAAGAAGGGGAATAATGGATAATGAAGACATCCCTTGAAACTGAGCATGTCTACTAGGGGAAAGAAAGTACACAATATTTCCCCTTCAAAAGTAATAAAAAACTTAAAAGTACAAATAAAAACTCAGTTCTGTAAATTGAGATGGGAGTGATTATTTCGGAGTAGAGAAAAAGGATCAACACAACGGAGCTGACTTTGAAGTGCTAGAAAAACAAAATTGAAGGATTTGCACAGACTCTAGCTAGTATATTTTGACAACACTATATATAACAAAAAGCAAGTACTCTAAAGCAGACCTTCATTCTTAACCATGTTTCCTTGTCCTGAGTGAGCAGAACCATTCTTTGCTTTTAATTACCATCTACAAAGTAATTGCTGCTGCTTCTTATGTACCATCAAATCAGAACCAACTCAATGCTGACCCTCCAGTGGGTTTTCAGAGACAGTAAATCACATGGGAGAATGTTGGTCTTTCTTTTGCAGTGCAGCTAGTGGATCTGAACCAGATACCTTCAGGTTGGCAGTGCAATTCCGTAACACCAGAGCTCCCTAAAAAAACAGCAGTTCTACTTCATGTCTTAAAGGTACCCAAACTCAACACATCCAAAACACTCTTCAAATTTGCTCATCACCATCAATTTACTTTCTTCAGCAAATGCTAATACCATACACCAGCTGCCTAAGAGAAACTTCAGAGTCATCTTTCAATTTTCATTCTCTCTTTCACCTCAAATCCTAACCACAACACTACTGCTCAGTTTGGTCAATCTGATCCCCTGCATGGCACAGAAGTCATTAATTTCACTGTCTTGCTTCCACACGTTAGTATAAGAGCTAAATTCCCAGGGTTGAACAGAATTTAAAAAGATTTTTAAAACGAAATTACTAAGGGGGGAAAAATATTATTTAGAACAAAAGCTATGAGCTGTGCTACAATCCCAAAGGCACTGGATTCAAATTCATCGGCTGCTCTGAAGCATGGGCAATCTTTTTCCTTGCCTCTGAAAAACTGCTGGAGTTATGCATCAGTTTTGACTTCAAGGCAATGAGTTTTTTCCCCCTAAGGTCAAGCTTGGCTCCAAAAACAGTTGCGAATCCTCATTTAACTTTCTCAAGTTTGCCAATGAAAGCAACTTCCTAAGGCCTTTAGAGATCTTTGGTCAAATTCAGCAAAACAGGGAAACATTTTAAAGATAGGAAAATGTCTCTAAGACAAGTACGAATAGCTTCTTTTGCTCTTAAAACAAGTTTCTCTAAGGAGTTTGTAATCACAAGGCAAAAGAAATGTTTCACGTGAATTGACAAAAAATGGGGGGAAGCCCACATTAGCTCAGTCACTTCAAAGCTTAGAGGACACACTGATTTTTAAAGAAAATTGTACAAACTTCCTGTCAAAAGCTGCAGTGTTATGAACGCAGAAGGAAGTCAAGAAATCAACTGCATCCTCAGAGTGATCACAGCAATGCTAATGACAACGAGAGCAAGCTCTGGAATTCACGAGGCGAATCCTGAATTTCTTACACATTCCCGCTGCAAATCTAACGCCTGTGCGCGCAGGAAGAGCAGGGCAAGCGGCTTTCTACAGGGAAAACTTGCATGTGACACAATCCGTCACGACAGACAGGCCGGCCTCCCACCTTTTTCTTCCTCTTCATCCTCCTCCTCCTCCTCTTCCTCTTCGTCGTCCTCTTCACTTTCCTCTCGGGCGCCCGGCATCTCGGGTTCCTTCTCGGACGCGGGCTGGGCGGGGGTTCCCTCTCCCTCGGCGGCGGGGTCCGAGGACGACATGCTGTGGTCGTCGGTCTGCGAAGGGGGAGGCAGCGGGATTCGGTCTCCGGGCGGCCTTAGGGTCACCCACCCTACGCCCGCGGCTGGCCCAAAGCGGTGCCGGCGGGAAGGACTGAGATTCGGGAGCGACTAAGTTGTCTCCTTCCTCCCGCAGCCGGGACGCTGGCGCTCCTTCCCCAGGGGCGGGATCCCTCCCGCTCCGCCCGCCGTCAGGGATTCCCGAGGCGGGAACCCGCGGGGCCGAGCCCGCCCCCTCCGTCGGCCCGCGCCTGCGGGCGGCTCCCGTCCCCTCCCCCCAGCCCCAGGCCGCCGTCCAAATGGCCGCGTCCAGCCCCGTCACCCTCCCTCGGCGGGCACGGCCGGTCGTCGCAGCTGCCTCTCCGCCCCCTCTGCCACCGACGCTGCCCTCACCGCGGGGCCCAGACACAGCAGGCCTGGCGCGCGAGGTCACGAGGAGGCCCGGGAGGCGGCGACGAAGCTGGCCGACGCGGAGGAGAAGGTGCGCGGGACGCTCTCGCGCGTGACGCTCGCGCCGCGCTTTCTGCTCTCCAGAATCAACAAGATTTTCAAAATGGCGGTTCGGGAAGGAAAGCGGGAATGCGGCGGCCAATCAGCGGCGCGAGCTGGGAGTTGGCGGGCGCGGGCTGGGGCGGGCCGGCAGCTCCGCGGGAAGGCCGGGGCGGGGCTGCGCTGGGGTCCCCCGAGCGCGAGGCGAGGGGCTGCGTGCTCCGGCGCCGGCGCTCAGGCCGCGTCCCGGCTGCGTCCAGCGGCGCCTGGTTCCTGGGGCTCGGGCCGAGGCCCGGCAGCGCATCGTGGAAGAACGCTAGGGGGCCTTCAAGCTTTATTGTCTCCTCCAGTCTTTCCTTCCTGGAAAAGATGATGAGCTCTGGTGGGCCGAGGCCCGGCAGCGCCTCGTGGAAGAACGCTAGGGGGCCTTCAAGCTTTATTGTCTCCTCCAGTCTTTCCTTCCTGGAAAAGATGATGAGCTCTGGTGGGCTGACGTCTGAGTTGGAGGAGAGAGGGTGGCAAAGAAGTTTAGGAATCTTGTGAAGTTGATATTTACAGATTTCTCAGAAGTGGAGGGGAGCTAGTTCAATGAGCAATCTCATTTATGTCCCGGAGATAGTGTCTTGGGATGACTCCGAGACCTGATCATTGTACGGTGCATTGAAAGGAAACAAGTCCTGCCACCTTGAATGTTCACATCCCCAGAGGCTTGGATGGATTTCTGAACAATGAATTTAGGGGGAGATACGCCTGACTGACATGCAGAAAGAGACAGTTCTATAACAGGGGAAAATAACTCTTTGTCTAGTGCCGACCATCTTCCTAGTTCTTGGCAGATGCACAAAAACCTAAATAATACAATCGCTTACAATCTCTAATCTCATTCCTAAAACAATGTTGCCTCTGTTTTCAGCCACAGACCGCTGACTGTCCTTTTGGGCAAACTTATTCTCGTTTTTGGGCTTTCACCTTTTACTGTCTGTGATGCCCTTCGCCCATATTCAAATGACTGACTTCTTCACATCATTCAGTCTTAACTGCTCAAATTATTTTCCTCCTCTAATATCATTTTATCTTTACCCTCTCTTCCTGTTATGTGCCGTCTGTCCAGTGGACTGGTACTCATAGCAACTCTCTGCACAATAGCTCTGAACCCTGCCCTATCCTGAGCCAATCTCACTGTCTCCAACATATTTTACCTGCTTTACCCTAGTTACAGTTGCCTTACCGTGGTCACTTTTGGTTGCTGTGAGGCTGAACACTGTGACACTAATGTGTCAATTGCATTAATGGTTGGCTACCCAATGCAGAGAGTGGGGTGGAGCTCCCCAATTAAAACAAGCTTGGAAGGAGGAGTGGCATCCACTTCCATCCATAATAGCTTGCCTCCGGAAACCCTATGAACCTGGAGAGAGGATGAAAGGCACCCAAGCGTTGAGGACTCTGCTTCATAGGGTCGCTAACAACAACCCTAGTTGCTGGGTCAATCCATCTCATCCAAGGTCTTCCACTCCTCTCCTCTCCTCTCCTGTCCCTCCACCTTTCCAAAAATGTTGTCCTTCTCCAAGGAGTGGTCTCACGTGGCAATATGGCCAAAATATGTGAGACAGCTTCAAAATCATTGCCTCTGAAGAACAACTTGGTTTAACGCTCTCCAGGACAGACCTGTTATTTCTCTTGGCAGTCCAAAACTCCTCCAGTACCACTCAAGCACAACTCAAAGGCAATTCTTCTTGCCACCCTTAGTTATTGTCCAGCTCTCAGATCGGTAGCAGATAATTGTGAAGATTATGGCCTGGACCAGGCATCCCTGAGTCTCTAGACTGACATCATTGCTCTTCAGCACTTCAGCAGACTTTTCTAATGCAATTTATCTTTTTATTTCCTGATTGTTGGTGCCAAAGTGTTGATTGTGGAATTGAACAAGCTGAAATTGTTAACAATCTCAATCTCTTCTCCATCTGTCATGGTGCTGCCAGTAATTGGCCTAGTGGTGAGAATCTTATTTTCTCAATGTTGAGCTTCAATCCATATTGAAGACTGCAGTCCTTGACCTTGTGCAGCAAATACTTATGGTCCTCCTCAGTTTCAGCAAGCAAGGTTGTATCATCTACATAATGCAGGTTGTTTTATAAGTCTTCCTACAATTCTAATGCTGCATTCCTTTTAAAGTCCAGCCCTCTGAAGGATCTGTTCTGTATATAGATTGAAAAGGTATGGAGACCGGATACATACCTGATGAACTCCTTTCCTGATTTTGAACCATGTAGTGTTTCTTTGCTTTGTTCTGATGACTGATTCCTGGTCCAAGTATGTGTGTGAACACAATAAAGTGTTCTTTTCAAGGTTAGCCACAATTCACAAGGTGATCCACACAGTCTAAAATCCTTTGCATAGTCAATAAAATACAGATATTCCTCTGGTAAACTCTACTTTCAGTCAAGATCCATTTGACATTAACTTAACTTGATATCCTTAATGCTATGGCCTCTCCTAACCCCAGCTTGTATTTCTGTCAATAGACTGTTCCCGTCCTTTTTGGATACTCTTCAACAGGATTTTTCTTGCGTGTGACATTAGTGATATTGTTTGGTAATTTCCACACTCTGTTGGGTCAGCTTTTTTTTTTTTTTTTAATAGGAATAAATAAGGAGCTCTTGCAGTCAGTTGTCCAGTTAGTTGTCCTCCAAATTTCTTGGCACAATCTAGTAAACACATTCAGGGCTGGATCTGTTTGTTGAAATATGTCAACTGGTGTGCTGTCAATTCCTGGGGCATTGTTTCTTGCCAATTCCTTCAGAGCAGCTTGAACTTCCTCCTTTAACACCATTGCCTCTTGATATTATATTGTTTCATAAAATCTTTCTGTGTCAGCCAATTTTTGGTATATGACTCTGTGTACTTCCATCTTTTTTCCCCCATTTCAAGGCATTTGTTTAAATCCTGAGTGCTACTGGAGGGGACAGGGCAGAGCCAAAACTAGTCTCGGGATATCCTCCTCTGGGCCCCAACCTTCCTTCTTCTTTTCATGATTCCTGGGTCATTCAATACTCTGCCCATTGTTGTTGTTATGTGCCATCAAGTTGTTTGCGACTCATAGCAACCCTATGTATAAGAACTCTATATGCCGTTCTGTCCTGTGCCAACCTAGCCATCTCAAACGCACTTATTCCCACTGCTCCAGTCACAGAATCAATCCATCTCATCAAAGGTCTTCCTCTCCTTCGCCGCCCCTCCACTCTGACAAACATGATGCCCCTCTTCAAGGACCAACATACCCAAAGTATGTCAAGGTGAAACTTCAGAATCCTTGACTACAAGGAGCATTCCAACTTCACCTCCTCCAGGACAAACCTGTTTGTTCTCCTAGCAGTCCATGGTATATTCAATACTCTTCTCCAGCACCACAGCTCAAAGGCATCAATTCTCTTTCTATCA